AGAGCAGTGCAAGCCTATCTGAACAGCAGCATATTCGGAATGTGGGTATTTACCTTTCATATTTGTTTGTTATGGAAAATAAATAACGAAGCGCCCCGGTTCAGGTTGATAGATAGGAGTTTGGGTAATTGGATTGGTTAGGGGTTTTGGTTTAGGGTTGGTGGGTTGTTAGGACAATTGTGGGGGTTTCAGGGTTGCAAAATTCTAGGAGATGTTGGTAAACCGGTAAGTTGGACGAATATTGAAGTGTGTGCAGCGTTGTTTTGCCATCTGAAGTGCTTGCCAAGCTCAGTGTCCTCCGTGGTGCGGTCAGAAATTAGATAAAGATAACATGGCCCGAAGCACGACTGTCCACGATGATGCATCCAGGCGGCGAAACCTACACCCACAGGAACGTGGGCTTCGGGTTGTGGTGGGCGTTGCCGTACTTGTACATCACCAGCGGGATGTCTTCCATGATGTCGAAGTCGAGCCTTTGGGGATACGTCATTCGGCTGGTTGTGGTGTTTACGGCAGGAGTCTCTGCTAACCTGTTCGCAGATATGGTTAAGCATCGGGATTGGCGGCACGATTTCGGGAACACGATCTTCCAAATGTTCTTCGTGATCATGTTACTCATCATGGCCCCGCTGGCCGAGCCCTTGCGGCAAGCCTTGAGGTCACGCCAAGACGGCGAAAGCGTCTCCAGAGCTACGGTTGCCTTTACGGTGTTTTGGGGCGCCGTCTCTGCCGTGGCACTCGCCTCTTTCGTAAGGGGCTACACTGGCGATTCCCCAGACTTTGTCACTCAGACTTTTGAAGATGAGGAAGTGTCTCGATGGATCAAGCTTTATGCGCCCGTTCTACGGCATACTCCGATAATTCTGGTTCATGTTGCCGGCACCCTGTTCTTGGGTCTGCTTGCGACCATCCTTTGCCAACCTGAAAACACCGGGCTTGTCGGTTGGGTGCTGCTTGCATTCACTTATCTGCAAATGGTCATTGTGCCATGGGACCAGGATTCCTTTGCTCATTTGGTGAACTTGAACATCGTTGGCATGTTGACTTTCCAGTGGCCACTGGCCGGAAGCAATTACATAGCCGCTGCAGTGAAGGCCTACTGGCCGTTTTTGCTTATGTTCCTCTGCCTAGATTCAATGCCGGATATGTGGGGGCGTTGTGACGTGCATTCGCCATACTCCACTTGGGCTGCTCGGCTTCAGTGCAATCATGTCCGGAGCTTGTTCACTTGCTTGTTCACCTGTGGTGCATATACCTTCTCTGGCGGCTCAGGAGAGATTCCGCATGTTCCTCGGGGAGTTGATCTTGGTTGTCTGCTTCATGGCCGGTGCTTTCACACCCTCAGATCCGCATAGGATCACCTCTTGGCTGGGACAGTGGTCGCTCTACGCCTACTGCTTCCATGTAATGTGGTATCGATTGCTCGGAAGTCCATACGGCGCCGCTTGACTCAAAGCTGTCAGGGTGCTGTCAGGGTTGTCTCGATCTTTGTCCTTCCTCAGAGCATGCTGGCACATGCGCAGTTTCGGCAGGCCATCGTCACCTTTGCTGGCATGCCAGTCTTCTGGGCCATGGCAGCGTGTATGCCGCAGAAGGCGAACGCGAAGTGAGTGGCGTGCTCCACCTGCCAGCCGTAGGCTGTGTCTCAAAAAAGAGCTTGTGGGGAAGGCAGACGTGCGTGCAGGTCGGAATTCTGTTTTTGATACAAGCCCTCTACCCTCCTCAGCATGGATCGAAGCATGTCGTAGCAAACTTGAGAGAATGCTGGCGCCTTGGGCGCCCGCTCTCGCGTTAGTTCTTGCTGCCGCCCAGCGGGTGGTTCCGTCCTGGCGTCAAGTACCGGGCGATGTCGACTGGTTTCCCGCCAAAATATCCGCCCAGAGACCGTCAGAGCCAGGAGATTTCTTGTGTGCGAAGCTTTCGCCCAGGTTCGACGGCTGCGGCTATGGCAACGAGATCATTCGAGGGAGCATCTCTGCAGGACTCGAACACAACAAGGCCCATTTGGCCCAACGTGCTGGAAGTGCTGGGGGAAGCTTCAGACGGGCAGTTCCGAGGTGCGAAAGCATGTCGCCATGTGCTTGTCCCACTGCGGACCTCCTTCCTGTACGCTGAAAGCAGCGGATCCCTGGGCAGCATTCAGGATGCACTTCGTCGCGGTTTCGGGCAGGGGCAGGCTTTTTCCCACCGGCTAAGGAGACGGACTGCGACTGCTTGAAGTGCACGATGTTCTGTCTTTCAAGAGGCTCCTATGTGGATTCTTGCTTGAACAACCATACGTACGATCTCTGCTCGAGCTTTGCGGCCAGCATCGAACAAGCGAACAGCCGCCTGCTCAGCCTTTGGAATTCTGAGCAGTGCCTCTTGCCTAGTCGTTTTCGCGCACCTGGGTGGCGGCTCGTGTTTGCCCAGGTTCGAGCACTGCGTCTGCGAGCTGCCAGGTGAACTGCAACGGTGCCCTGAGGCCGCGGCCGAGGCTCCCGGCGGCGCTCGCTCTGAGTCTGAGCCTGTCCCTGTCAGCCTGCTTTCTGTAACCTAGGAGGGCAAAAGGCACAAGGCTCCAGCTTAGGCTTTCGTCTCACCGAGTGAGAGTCTCTCTGAGTGAGAGCTCCAGAAAAAAGGCAGATGAGGAGAAGCGGATGAGGAGCCGGAGTTTTTTCTGGAGTCATACTTCCTCGGGCTCGGGCTCGCAGAACTGTAGGGCTTCGGGGGGGTTTTGAACGGGAGTTTGCCTGGGCAGAGTGACCAGATGGAGCCCGGCCGTCGCCCAAGAGCAGCCTTTGAAGAGTTTCTGCTGTGCGGCGCACCATGGGTTTCAGGCTTGCCATGGGTGGAGAAGTATCGGCCGGAGCGAATCGAGGAGGTCGCCCAACAGGAGACAGTGACGACTACGAGACGGGGTTAGAGTTAGAGTCACTTCGACTCCTTGACCAGGAGGAAGTGGTCTCTGCATTGAAGCACAGCCTTCAAACAGGCGCCAATGCAGCCAAGGCTCAGCGCTGGTCTACACTGCTTCTGGGCATGCTGAGGAGAGCTGCCGAACCTCATGTGGGGCCCCAGTTGGGCAGCACCTGAGAGGCCGCTGCAACACTCCGCGCGCCCTTCCTCCGAGGTTCTATGGGCCTCCCGGAACAGGCAAAACGACGGTGGTCGGCGGCCGGGACTGGCACGTCCCGATGCCCTCCCTCTTTTTCGGAAGTCCCTGAGGCCCTGGCATTGATGAAGCAATTCTTCGGCAAGGACTGGCGATCCCGCGTCAAGGCCACGCCAGACTCCATTTGTAAAGGCACGGTAGCGGCCTGCCATGAGCGAACAGGAGCTGAATGCCTCAGACGAGCGCGGCATCACTGCCGTCCGAGAAAAGGCAGAGATTCCGGAAGCACATCCGGCTGTCGTGTGGTGTAAGACGGCAGGTGAAGACCTTTGCGCAGTTGGCCATAGGTTTTCCTGGCAGCATCTCAGAAACCCAGGGACGCCAAGACTTCAAAAATTCGGACGCAGTGATCCACCCTCGTAGGCAAAATGAGACGGCGAGGGTTTTTTGGGAGCTCGGGGGGGGGGGGGGGGGGGGNNGGCGGATTCGGGGTTTTTTGGGCCCTCCCGAGGCGGCGAGAGCCTCGCGGAGTCGAAGGCGCGCTTTCGGGCCCGGTGCCTCAGACGCGTCCGCGCGGCGTCGCGTCTTTTACCCCAGATGCAGCGTTTAGAGGTCATCATCTTGGACGAAGCCGATTCCATGACGCAACTCCCCCAGATCTGCAGTGCAGTGCCCTTCTCCCTTATGTGCCGTGCAGGCATGATGCTCAGGCAGCTTTGCGAAGGATCATGGAGGTGCCTTCCACTCAACGTGTTGTCATAGCTGCGCAGTCACAGTCTGCAGGAGTTCGTGCATGTCACACGCTTCATCATCATTTGCAACTATGTGTCCAAGATCATCGAGCCGGACTCTCACGCAATGACAAGCAGCTTCGTGCATCTGTCCGAGCGTGATGCCCTGACAGGCCCTTGCATTCTCGATGCTCCAAATTCCGGTTTCAGCTGGTGGGTCTGATTCTAAGCTTGTTTCTTGGTGCCCCGTCGCCGTTCACCTCAACATTTCACGAGGTGCCGAGTTCCAGAAAGCCCGACTCCTGCACATTTGTGAAAAGGATGGCTGCTCCACTTCGTCTCCCTAACTTCTGAAAGGTAGCCTTGAAAGCTTGAAAGCTGATGCTGGCAGGAGAAAGTGGCGGTGAGCCCAGGTGCACTTGAGCAGCTGATCTTCCTCTCCAAGGTGGAGCCCCCGGCCACGCCAAAGAAAGCTGTGACAAGATCTGAACCTCTGACAGGGAGATATGCGGTGCGCTGTAACGATGCTCCAGACAGCCGTCCAAGTCTACGACAAGGCGGCGACAGGCCTTTACCCCCTTGCATCCTTGCATTTCCTTGCTAGGTGGACGAAGACTCATTAGTTGAGGCGTGGAGAAAACAGCGTGGCCTGTGAAAGAGGAAGTGCCGCCTTGAGCCTTGAGGTCTTCTGTGCTGTTCCCGAGTCCAAGACACGGGAGCTGCTAGCCCGTTGCCGGTCCTCCCAGACGACGGAGCAGGATGGGACGGAGAGGGGACGGAGGGAACGGAGCTAGGGGCTCCACCTCGTGCTCCTCGTGCTCCGCCTTCGAGGTGCTCGAGGCAGTGCGAGACTTCCTCCTCGAGGGCTTCTCGGGGCTGCAGGCCGGGACAGAGGCCCCGTCCCATCCCACTGCTCCGCTCCCTCGGCGCGAGGTTATGGAGCAGTTGCAAGAGCTCCTGGCGGAGGTGCGTCCGCTGCGTGCTACGCCATGTGCCCTGCATTGCCGCGATTCTTTCGGCAGGACGTGTCGCTCCAAGATGCAGTGAAGGCCAAGTGTGCCGTGCTCTTTTCGCAGGCGCGCGCCCGCTCCGACTTTGGGAGTCCGGAGTCGCTGCTGTCGCACGCGACCTGTCGCAAGAGCCTGTCGCGAGGCCGAGGAGCGCTTGTGCCAAGGCTGCGATGAGGAGACACCGGAGACACGCACAGGGCGCGGAGGGGGCGGCGCGCGCGCGCGCGCGCGCGCGCGCGCGCGCGCGTTTTTCGGTCGCCTTTTGCGGTCGGGTCCGAGGAGCTTCAGCTCTTTGAGCTCTTCTCCAACCTGCGGCCACTCATTCAGGCGAGCGCCGCGAGCGCCGGGAGCACCTTGTGCGAGCTCGTCCCGCCTGCAGAGACTTATTGTCCAGGCCAGATGATGCCCTTCAATTGGCAGAGAGTGCAGTCCGAGCCTGTAGCTCCCGGACGTAGACAGCGTCAAGAACTGCACTCAGGGTGAGAGCATGTAGGACCAATGTAGGAACTTTCGTTTGGGGACCTGGCTGTCACACAACAGGTGTGACTAGTAGCGGCGAGTCGGATACCGGAAGCTCATAGGTGACAGATGCACACAATTTGGTTCAGAGAACTTGAGGCCTGTTGAGCTTGTCGGCTTCTCGTTATGGTGCTGTGCTGCAGAACAGCGGGGATGATGCAAAAAGAGCACATGTGCATTGCCGGCAGAGACATTTGCTCTTCCAATCAATACAGAAGTCACGAGGGTCTTGAATACCAGCGCTGTGCCACATGCCCGTCCACAGGGTGCCGGGGTCAAGACAGGACATCAGGCACCATTAACTGTACTGCTAGAGAGCGAATCATGTTGGAGCCAGTGGACCGCCGTGAGAGCGATAGCACGAGCAGAGCTAGCAGCCTTCAGCGTGCCAACATTGCCAGCACTACCACAGCTTGGCACAGGGCACTCCGACAGATCTTGCAGCGCGATGTTCTGCGGCCCTTGAAGGGGGCCGGCAGACAAGCCGCCTGCGCAGATCAGACACGACCTCAGTGAGAAAAACTTGCCAGGATCACAGTTGTGGCGGGGGCCAATAAGCGCCGGAACTCGGCCCTCGGATGGGGGTGGTTCATGTTCAGTACGTGGAGGACACCAGGGTTGAAACCGGGCTGGGGCCTCATGTTCAAACGAACAGAGACGCCGGGGCGCGGAACTGGCCGTTCTTGGCTTCTGCTGTAGAAACCCTTTTAAACCCTTAGATCCCTTTACGGGGAAAATCTGCCCTGACCACACCACCAGAACAGCCCTGAAACCCTGAAGCCCAAGACACCCTCACACCCAGCCGGAAGTCCACGACCACACAACCTCCTTGAAGCAAGGACTAGCGCGACCCCAAAGACGTGGGGGAGAAAACTCAAGCAAAGCACTTCTGAACCATTGAGCCATGTGCTACGTTGGTGCAACGGTACTACACTTCTCGATGTAACTTTGTGTGTGTCATCCTTGCGCATGGCGAAACAACGCCGTGCGGCTTGATTTGCGCATGTCATCCTTACGGAGGGGCTTTGTTTGCAAGGTCCTTGCTTCGCAGACGTAAGAGCAGAAACACAGAGGCGGTTTGCAAAGGAGCGCCACTCTTCAGGAGAAGTCGGGGCTTGGGGCCCACGTGATCACTGAGTCCCTTGCGGCTCCACTTCGCGAGGGGTCTGCATCATTAGCACAATGCAACAGGTAAAGTTCATTAATATGTAATGCAGAGGTGCATACTGTACCTCGGAAACCTGTTCATACTGATTGAAGCATCATGATTGGAAAGTGTTGTGTGCGAACCGGATAGCCTGCTACCCACGCTTGGGCTCCCTGCGGATGGTGCGGGCAGCCTCTCGGATGCCTCTCGGATGACACCACAGATACTCGCATCCTGGAATCGCCGGCACCAAGCAAGCCACACACTCCTTGGGCACTATAGTCTTGTTCCGTTCAAGACGCTCCACACGCTTGCGAACTTGGGGGATTTTGCAGGTGATTGAGGTGAGCCGGCCGGTTGGGTCAGCATGTTGTTCAAGTTGGAGGCAGGCCTTGGGAAAATAAGTTAAGTTTGGAGTTTGCACGTCGTGTTACCCTAGGAGCCAGTCTAATCTTCGAGCTGAGATCGAAGGGTCACACGTGCATGCATGAAGCCGGCGTGGGGAGAGTTCTGCTCCTCCTTGAGCAGTGTGGACGAAGAGAGAGATAGAGAGAGAGAGAGAGAGAGAGAGAGAGAGCGCGAGGTCGAAGCAAGCCATAAGTGGGATGGGGGCTCTGGGAAGAACCAAAGAGGTCCCAAAGCCAAAAGCTCGGCCCAGGATGGCGGGGCGGGAGGTGGTGCCGCGGACCTGGCCGTCGCTTGGCGGAGCACCAGCAGTTCTTTTTACTTGAGGCTCCGTTTTCTGCTACGTCTACGTCCTAGGTCAGGGCTCAATGCAGCCGAGCGCATCAAGCAGCGGCCTTTCCCTTCCAGAGTTTGGACCGATAGCGTCGCGACGTCGCGCAGGGCCGAAATGGAGCAACAGGGCGGCATGGAGGAAGAGGAGGTCTGGACTGGCCGTGTGAGCCAGTCTGAGTCAGCAGTTTTTTTCAGAAGAGACACATGACAGGTCTTTGATGAGCTGCTATGGAATCAGCAAGCTTCCCCCCGAGTTACCGCTTAAGGCACTGAATCTGACGTGTGCTTTGGATTCCGCTGTTGCAAGGTCACTGACCTGCACAGGGTCATGGAAGTGGCGAAGGCACCCCGAAGCTTCGACGGAAGTTAAGGAACTAGAATCACTAGAGGCGCGTTAGGGCAAAAGCCACTCTCCTGCTCCAGTCTGTGTGGCTTCTTTTGGAGCACAGCAACGAGGCAATTCCCCTCCAAAGAAAAACTTGTTGTTCGTGGGGCAGCAGCTCAAGGCCATGGTGCGCGTGGCACTGGAGATAGCCTTGGACCGGAAGTATAAGAAAGTCCTTTGGTGGCCCGACTTCTGGCACGGCCACCCAGTTCATTGAGCCCACCACTCCTGTGGACTGCCGCGGCGGCTCCAAGGTTTTCGGACCACGACAAGCGTGAACACTTCAAGGAGCGAGACCGCCGTTGCGCCGCCGACCACTCCAAGACTAATGCCCTCCAAGCGCCCAGGAGATTGTGCGGATTAAGCTCGCCATTGCCATCGCCAACGCGAAAGGTTCGGCGGTGGACCTCTCTGCTCCGGCCTTGGAGCGTCCAAGTGCGCCGAAGTGTGGGATGCCTCTGGTCTGGTCGTGAGGAGTTTCAGAAGAACGAGGAGGAGAGCGAGCCGCGCGCTTGGAGCGCTGGAGCGCTGGAGCTAGAGCCATGTGTGTGGGGCGCAGGGGCGGGGTGGATGGGGGGCTGCCTCTCAGGTTGGTGATCGGGTTGCGGAAGAAGATCTCCGAGCTGGAGGCGTCCTTTTGGATCTCATCAGATTCTCGGAGCAGCTTTCTGCGCAGGAGGCGCTCCGGCAAGCCCGGGCTCTCCAGGAGGCCGCCGAGGCGCGGTGCCGGGAGCTGGAGGCCGCCGCCGCCGAGGCGCGGAGGAGAGCAGAGGAGAGCAGAGGAGGAGAGGAGCTGGAAGAAGTGCAGCGCCTTCCCAGAGCTGTTGCCTGCCTCAGGCTGCCCAGCGCATGGCGGCCATGGAGAAGTCTCTGGAACAGCTGCGGAAGGAGGCCAGGCCAGGAAACCGAGGAAGAGTGCTCTTGGCCTCTGCCCTCAGGTCAAGGATGCCTACAGGAACTCTCTTGTCGACAAGGGCAGTGATGCATCAGAGGAGCACGTTGCCATGGGCCGTCCCAGGAAACCCGAAATCTTACATTCTCAGGAGGAACTCTTGAAGCTCAAGCAGCAGCTCAAGATGAGTGCCCAGCTGAGCTCACATTCCCACATGCCCAGCGACAGGGGCTGGCATTGCCACTGAATTCAGGTGAAGAACAGCGGGTGAAGCTGGAGGAGATGATTGCGCAGCGCACATCCCAGCAGCATGCCGGAGCGTCTGGCCATCTCCCCATGATGGCGCATGCAGGTTGCAGAAGCAGTTGCAGCCCGAGCCCGAAGTTGGATTTGCAACCGTACTTGCACAGCGTTTTTCCATTGAAACACTCGAGCAGACAGTTGGAGACGGAGTCTGATATTGGATATCACTCCAGTGGCTACTCGTATGTCGACAGTGCTTTACATGCAGGGTCCCGGGTCGTGCTGCGAGCCCACACAGTCACGACAACCAGTATCAACCGCCAACAGAGCGAGTCTCCCGCTCTCTCTCTCCCTCTCTCCCTCTCCCTCTCTCTCTCTCTCTGTCTCTCTCTCTCTCTCTCTCTCTCTCTCTCACGTCACTGTCTGTCCGCAGACCATCGCCTAGCGGGCCGAGCGTGAGTAAGGCGTAGGGCTTGTTTTGCTTCTGACCAGGATAGGGCCAAGAGAACTGTGCAAAGCAAGAATTCGGAGTGCTCCCGCATCTACCGGACAGCAGGTATCTCGAAGGAGAAGATGCTCTTCTGTGGGGTGGTGACAGCTTGATTGCGGCATTGGAGATCCTGAGCGGATCTGTGCACGGAAACCGCGTCCAAGCATTTCCGGGCGTTCCAGTTCGGGTCCTTTCCAAGTGTGCCACTCTTTGCGTTTTGGGAACCTCATGGCCTTATATGTTCACCAACGGGCGGAAGTGGCTTCCGGAGAAAGCTCCAGACCCAAAAAAGTAGTTGCGGAAGTGGAAGTGTTGGGAGCAGAGCAGAGCCTGGAATTGAGGTACTGAGCATGTGTCCGGGAGGCTGCAAAGAGTGCCTGTTGCTAGAGATGTCAAGTCGCATGTGATCTCAGCCATGCTAGTTGGCGGGTTGTTCGTCTCGCTTTTCCGCACACTGTTGCAAACATCTGTCAGAACCTTTGGGTTTGCATGGCGTCGACTCGTCGTGAAGCGTTGCTGGGAGGCTGGACTTGGAACTCTTTGGGGTGCGGTGGGCTAGGCACCCCGTTCCTGAAATTCTTTGTTCTGGCATGAGCTACCTGATTCCTGCATCTTCTTCACACCTGTGTGGCTTGCTTCGTCAGTCTGGGGCAGGAAGGTGGGTGTTGTGCGAAAGTCAGGCTCTTTTCTTCCAGTCCTCTCAAGGCGCTAGTGATTCGAGCTTGCTCTAGGCATGCATTCCCAAGTCCTCTGCGCTGGCAGCTGCAGTGGGACATGAGGAAGCGGGTTTCAAGAAGCGAGTTTGCCGCAAACACAACGCAAAACTGTACTCAGTGAATGTCGATGTGTTGCAACGTGTTGTAAGCCTGACATATTGACTCCACTATTGCAGAGTCTTCAATGGGTTCTGCAGACCACTGGCAAAGGCAGAGATTAGCTTGTGTCCGCGTGCGTGCTGAGGCAAGCGTCGGCTTCTGGAGACGGGTCGCAGCTCAGTGTCTTGGCATGCGCTCGGCTTTCGGGGGCTCTGGCTTTGCCCGAAAGCCTCCTCTTAGTCCCTCCTTTTGTGCTGAGATGCCGAGCTTCAAGCGGCCGGGAGCCCGGCATCGCAGAGCCCGTCCTCGAGGACTCTGCAGAGCTCTCCCTCTCCCTGTCTCTCCCTCTCTGGCCGAGGCGAGGAAGCGTATCGAAGACCTGGAGAACCGGCTGAAGGAGGCCTGAACTGAACTTGTGAGCAACAGGCCCTCGCGACGTTCTCTCAAGGCCCAGAAGGAGATTGCTGCCTTGAAGAAGCAGAAGGGCTCCGCATTCATCCCAGCCAAGAGCCACTCGGGAGATCCTCGCCTGCGTCGCCTGCGCCGGGCAACAAGGCTCCAGCAAAGACGGAAGGAAAAGCTACGGTTTCAAGACTGAGCTTCCGCTTTCCTTTTCTCCGCGCGCCGCTCTGCTTTCTTTTCTCAGGTCGACGGCGAAGCCTTCCGCAGGCTCAGTGCGGAGCTGGAGGAAGCCACCAAGCCACAAGCCACCACAACCCTCATCGCAACCACAACTTCCTGCATCGGAAGAGTGAAGCTACCAGGAAGAGCGGCGCAAGCGGGAAGAACTCGAGGAGCTGCTACAAAAAGCTCAGGACGCGACGCCGCGGCCGCCATGCGCCGCCATGCGCAGCCATGCGCAGCCTGAAAGCAGCTCCCCGCAGGAAGAGATCGAGCTGCTGAAGAAGGACCTGGACGCCGAGCGGAAGAAGGCACCGTCGCTTCCCCCCAGCGGGTGCCCCGCCGGGCGCTGGGCTCGGACCGCTGGGAAATTGGAGGCCGCCGAGCTGAGTGCGGAGCTGAAGCGGCTGCAGCAGCTCGACGCCGCGAGCCGAGCAGAGATGCGAGCGCGGCGAAGTCGAACAGTCGAAAGTGTTCGGGCATGTTCGGGCCCTCGGGCCCTCCCCTTTCTCGTCAGGGCAAGAAGCCGGAGGTTCTCCAAGAAGTGCAGCAGGCGGGAAAAGAGGGAACCCTGGGCCCTGGGCCGACTTCCGTCCTGGAGGTAACCATCCCGGGCGGCATGACCGCTGAGCAGGTGCGGTAGACCTTGTGCGACCGCAGCCTTTTTCGGATGCCGGCATGATATCTCTTTGCATTGTAGCTTGATAAACTAGCAGATGCAGCTGCTCCTCAGCTTACACCGGATGACTTGTTCTAGTGACCATCGTCAGCTGGCGGAGCTGGAAGAGCTGCGGGCGAAAGCAGCCGAGCTCGAGAAGTTGAAGGCTCGGCGGCCAAGCCCTAGGCCTGTCTGCTTCTCTCCTTCAGCTGGTGGCCACAGGCGAAGCTGAAGAAGCGCGACGCACAGATCGCTGCTCTGCAAGAGGCTCTGAGACCCGCCGCTGTCGCCTTGTCTTTGCTTGTGCTGTCACCTGGCTCGGAGGAGAACGACAAACTGAACGAGGAGCAGATGCGGCTGCTGAAGATGCTGAAGCAGGTGCCGGGGTCACTCCGACGTCGGGGTCACGCCGTTTTGCGACTGGGGATCTGGGGGGGCCCTGGAGGTCCGGGAGCAGCTGCGGATCGTCATGGAGCTGGCGGAGAAGAAGGGTCTCGGCGCGGAGCCGAGAAAGGGAAGGTGGTGGCCGTGGTGATGCCTACCTACTCAAAAGGGTTCCTGCCCGAGAGTCGGTCCGAGGCGATGTGATCAAGAAGCTCTTCGAGGAAGCCGGTGCCAGCAGCCCAGCCTAGATCCTCGCGCCCCGACGTTTTCCAAGACTGCACCGGCGCGACGCGCCCCCCCTCGCCAAGTTGGGCACCACCATGTCTGATCCGGACTACACGTGCTTCGATCGACTCTACGACGATGCCCTCAGGCACACCGGGGAATCCGAGAGACCGGCCGTCGTCTTCACAGCAGTCACAGCATGCAGATGCATGGAGGCGGATGGACAAGCAACGCCGTCTCGAGTGGTACCGCCTGGGGAACACCGGCGACCCTCCGCCATCCTTCAAGGCGAGCATATTTCTTCTGGAAAGTGTTTTTCTGAAAGGTATTGCGACATCCTCCGTCTGCATGGAACTGGCCGTGGCTCAAGAGTTGCAGAGGGGCGCCCATGCGCCCACAGAATTCACCATCATGCAGCGGTGACGCGCGCCGGCTGCGCGGCTGCGCATCCGCCTCAGACGGGTCGCCGACGAAGTGGCAGGGCTTTGCTCGACATCCTGTGCGAGGCCGTGGAAGCGGCTGCAGCAGCCGCGAACCCAGACAGAGCACCGGCCGCGGCTCTTGCCAGGACATGTGTTGACCCTTCGAAGGCCGCGCCATTTCGGCATCCAGGGCTCTGCCGCCTGGAGCTCGATTTCGAGCAGACGACCTTGCGAGCTTCGAGAGCACACCTTCCCTTGTCGCGCGCTGCGCAACCGGACAGACCGCACGTAATCGCACGTACTAGCTGTTACTAGCTCTGCTTCCTCTCACTCAAGAGACTCAGAGTTGCAGGCTATGCTGTGTAACGACGGTATACGCCTGAGAAAGAGATGGTGGATGGAGCCTTCTCCAGCAGTATCGGTCATCATCCCAACAAATTATGTTGAAAAACATGCTGCTGTCGGTAGCTATCCCAGGCAGCACACGAAACGAACAGCAGCTGCCAAAATCGGCATCGTTTGCAAGACAGTTGATCATTCGAAATACGATGTCCCGATTCCCATCCCTTCGGGCATCCCGAGGCAAAGCTTGCTTGGACCGGAGGCGTGGTCAGGGTGTCTTCGCCAGCAAGCGGGCTTCCCGGTGGCGCCGTGGGATCGGGTGCGTGCCTCTTTGCCCTGAGCCTGTAAGGCCCCTGAGGGCCGGCGAGCTGCTGCTGGCGCCTCTCGGAATGGAAATGGCTCTGCTGTGCGGCGTCAGAGCCTTTGGGAGCAATATCAGAGGTCTCCGCCCTTGGCAGCTGTGAAAGGAGAGGCCTCTCCGAGCGCGACTGCCGAGTGCAGTGCGGAGTCGCATGGTGCCTCTCTGTGCTGCTCTCTGCAAAGAGGAGTCCCGGAACAGCGACTTTCAGCTGCTCTCGCCGAACTGGTTTCGGAGCGACTCGACGGAGGTCTCAGCTTAGTCTTAGTTAGGGATAGCCTCGCCCAGTTTGGGTAGTTACATCACCGTCAACCAACTAGTGTACAATAATCCCTAAAACACATTACCATATAGAAAATCATCTTATTTATCAGGTGGTGTACCTCCGCGAAATGGGCAAGGGTAGGTTTATTCATTTTATGAGGCATAGTATGGGGCATTGGGTGGCATTCAACGAGCCACAGCCGCGAGACATCGTCAAGGAAGGCGGCTTCTGAGTCAGCTTCCAAAAGGTGCGCCTTGCCTGTCTTGCGGTTTGTGTCTTGCACTTGTCTGCTGGCTAATGCATTCTGCGGAATGCTTCTTGCATTTCTGCACATCTTGCCCAGCAATCTGGAAACCTGAAGCTTCTTGTGTCAAGTCTCGCACCAGTAAGTCATAGCCATGAGCTGATTCCACTGCATTGGGTTGATGGGTCGTGTGGCAAGTTCACATCATGCTCTCCGACGGTTGGGGCAGCCTCTTCGAGGCACATCGAAGTCAGCCTTCCACCAAGAAATGCCAATGACAGAAACACGCTTGGACGTGCTATTCTTGTCAGATGAGCTACATCCCCCTTCTAACACTCGCTACTTGGCAGAAGTCAACCAATTCTATGTCAGCAGGATTCACACTTTTGGGGGGAAGTGCTGGCAACTACGCACCTTGCAAAGCAGCAGCGGAGCGCACCACATTGTCCCCATCATCATCAACACGGGCGGCATCGCCTACAACAGGCCAATCTTCAACGACAAGGTGCGCCAATTCTTCCTGCCCGAGTACATCAATCGCAAGGACATGACTCGTGATCGGAGGGGGCGCAGGACAACGGATGCTGTCCAGTTCCCGACACCTCTGGGCGATGGCTTCTCCATCGCATCTGCAGAGTGGGACTCTGCGCGTGAGAAGGACTGTTCCAGAAAGCATTCGTTCCTCGTAACCCATCCCATTTGCTGTCCGTGCAAGTTTGTGAAGCAGTGCCTAGTGCCCTGTGTTGGCAGGAGATTTACACGCGCGAGGAGGGCGTCATCTACAACCTGGTCGGGCACGAGCTGGCGAAGGTCATCGATGAGTGTGACGGCTTGGCCAGAGACCTCAAAGGTCTGGCCGCCAAGGGAAAGTCTGAGTCCTTCATCCAAGAGTTCCGAGAGGAGGCGATCGAGGCAAAGGCAAAGGGCTTCGAAGCACAGGGCGCGACAGTGAGCGCCATTGAGCGCGAGGTGAGCTCCATGCTGATGGACGACATGATGCCGTGGGATGGAAGCGCCCTTCCAGTCCCAGACCATCTTTGGGTGAAGTAGCTTTCCGTTCCAGTTCTGTGAGGAGAGATTCCAATCCCCTAACCTTGGGACTCGAATCCCCGAATCCCTTAATTCTGGGACTCCAATCCCCAAATATACCCAGACGACAGAACTCCAATCCCCGAACCTTCGGACTTCTCTCTTCTTCGAAAGCGTCAGAGAGCACCAGATGCCGGAATGCACAGAGGCGCGGCACAGTGCGTCGCAGACAGAACCACCGACAAAGCACCCGATGCCACGCAGAAGCATGGTGCGCGCAGAACCAAATCGCAAGATTCTCGGGCAAGAACAGGCGCTTGTTGCATCACCATTCTGAAGCCCAGCCTTTCAGCATTCAGCCTGAATGAGCCCTTAAGCCCTTAACTTGGCAGGTGATGGAGGAAGGCGAGTTCAGGCGCGTCCTTGTGCAAAGCCAAGGTCAGGGCTTAGGGGTCGAGGTTTAGTTTTTTCGGCTTTCCCACTTCGGGAAGACACAGGCAATCCGACTGTTTACCAAGGGCTTGGCGATGTGCCTCAGAAGGTGTTGGCGTCTTGCGGTTTAGTTTGGGTTGTTAGGGCTTTGTCCCCTAAATCCCTACAAAAACCCTAAGGCGTTTGGGTTCGCGTGGCAACGCGAAGCTTCGCGTTCAAAAGTGTTGTTTCAACAAATAAAACAAGAAAACAGTCAAAAACAACAAGACAAAAAGTAAGGTACTGAAGATTTAGGGGTATGAAAAGATACAAAACACAAACAACATGAAAAGTTTCACAGTATTTGCCTAGTATTTTTACCCCAGTGAACCAAAAAAGCTGTTTACAATCAAAAACCAACATCAAAAATCTAAGGTACTGAAGATTTCGCGTTCAGGAAGGGACAAAGCCCATTAAACCTTTAACAATTTAAATCTTAAGTAGGCTTTTTCCATACCATTAACAAAGTACTATTTTTGTCCTAGTTTCTCGTCTATTCGTTCAACGGTGTATTTGTTTTGCGACCAGTTGCCTTTGCGTTCCTTTTCGTTAGGTTTTTCTTTTCTTAAATATTTTGACTTCATCGCCCTTGTCCAACTCTGGGTACATCCTATTTTCCATTAGCCTTACTGGCTAAATTCAACTTAACTTTTAACTCGTTTGATGGTTTTCGTGCTTCTTTAGGTGTCATTTCTATAGCGGAATGTTTCATGACATTATTCTATGTTAACAAAATCTCGTGTATATAATCTATCCACTGGATATTCTCTTTACCTTGTTTTCATCTGCTTCAACCCTCCTATACAACAAATCTTTAAAAGTGTGCGTATCGCGCGCTCACTAAAATTAGGGTGTGCTCTCGTTATGTGATGTTCAATATATTGTTCCTCAAAATATGCTTGTATTGCTTTCTTGCTCAGTGCTCCTTCATCGTCAGTGTAAACAATTTTTGGTTTCTTACCCATCTTGTGTATACATTCAATTATACCACTTGCTAAATCTTCTTCGGTCTTGCCATCAATAGGTACAACATGCATAAACTTATCAAACATATCAATCGTTAACATTCCTACTCGAAACTTTTGATTTTCCATGTCGTTAATAAATGAATAAGTCAATTTGATACTCGTATGCCGAATGCGGTGCTACAAAACTGTTCGTGCCTATTGGTCTGCGTTCTTGTTCTACATGCTTCTTAAAAAACTCATTGATATCGTTCATTGTTATACTTTTATGTTTCTTTCTGGCTTCATCTAAGGTGCGTTGCCGTGAACCAAAACCAGCCTTGTCAAAATACACATCATTAATTATTCTTTGTTTCTCACTCATATAAATAAGTAAGAAATCATAATATTTGCAATATTCTTATTTCTCTTCTTCTGCTTCTTCTTCGGGTATCACTGTTATCACCTTACAGTTTTTCATGGCGTATTTCGTTCCTTTCTTTTTACTTCCTAGTGCTTCTGCCTTCTGTTCTGGTGTCAACTTCATGACTGAAACATCTATGCCATTTTCGGCTATGTATTTCTCCATCTTCTTTTTCTCCAGATACCTATCTCTTGAAGGCCCTTTTTTCTCAACATACTCTTTGTCTTCACGCCGTTTATTATAATATAATCATTGTACAATGCCAGTTGCTCTCGGATTTCCTCCATTGTCATATCTTCAGGTTTTGTCATATTGCTATTTATATATATAGATAATATTTCTGTAGATATTTTGTCTTAATATTATATAATGTTTGATATTAAAGCAATGTGACAAGAAGTCTTAGGAAAACCACTTAAAGATTAAATATTATTAAATATCACTGCTTTAGAAGCAGTGTACGACAACTATAAAAGGCGTTTTAACAAAGCAACCAAGGAAAAAAGCCAGAAACATCATAGACTTATATTCTGAACGCAAGATAGCCCAGTTTACAACAGCCGACAACTTAATAAGAAAATTTGTCACAGCCAAGACACCAAAGGACAAAGAAAAGGCAGACAAGGAATATAATAAGATTTATGACAA